GTTGCCGGACACAAAAAAAGACAAAAAGGAAAAAAAATAAAAAAGAAATGCAAATTCTCACCCAGACGTACTGAATCCAAAAATAGGGCTGGGGCCCAGCCATCTGTGTTTTAACTCTCTCTCCCAGTGATTCTGATGTACATTCAAGTTTGGGAACCACTGATCTGGATAATAGCTTAAAACCCCTTCTCAATACATGCCTAGCATGTAGTAGGCACCCTCCAAGTGCTGCCTATGATTTTGATATACGGCCTTAATTGTTCACTCTTTCTCCTCCCAGAATACCAACCAATTTCACAGCTCCTAAAGGCTCTACTGACTCTTTCCCCACCTTGAATCCAGCACTGCTCCCTTTGCTGTGTGACCTCAGGCCAGCTTCAGCCCTTCCTGAGCCTTTAGCCATTTCAGGGCCCTTGTATCCTGACAACATGGGGTGGGTGACTCTACAACCAACTCATATCTTTGCAGCTTTGGCTGCCCAGACACAGACCCAGCACACAGGAGAACCTGAGATGGTTGTGGGGTAAGGTGGGACCCTACCTGCCCAAAGTTCCAAGGTACACTCTTGATAAACTTGGCTGAGCCCTGGTAGATAAAGCCGTGCTGGGCGAGGACGTACTCCTCCCGCTCCTCTTCTGAATCCAAGTACACAGCATCCGCTGTGGGCAGGAAGAAAAGGGCCTCAGCTCTGGGTCTGGTGGGGCCCAGGGTCCCTGCAAACCTGGCAGCCAGAGTGCCAACTCTCTGGGCCAAGCCAGCATCTCAGAGGTCTTTCTATCTTTTAATTTAAAAAATTAATCATTAATTAATAATCCCATGTCAATGGGATAAGGTGTTACCAGTTAGTGATGACAAAGGCTGCCATTTATTCAACAGGTGCCATGGGCCAGGACTTGTGATAAATGTATGATGTGTATTAATTGATTTAATCTTCACAAGAGCCCTACAAGGAAGGAACACTTGAAAGCCCCATTTTAAAGATGAGAAAACTGATGCCAAAACAAGAGATAGAGGAGAACTGGCTGTACCAGAAGTCGGGAGACCCCTGTCCCTGCTCCTCACTTGCTGTGTAACCCTGGGCAGGACACTTGGCCTTCTCTGCCCACCTCGACATCTCACTGTTAGCCCAAGAGTAAATTGTGTCTGCAGACCTGAAAGGTGTTTTGGAAACTAAAGCTGTGTGCCAGCATGAGGAGTGAGCATGACGCAAGGTGGAGAATTCAGTGCCAGAGGGGAAAGCCGAGAAAGGTCACTGAGGTTCAGGGAAGGCAGGATCCTGTTCAGCTTGGAGAGTCAGGGAGGACTCCCTGGAGGAGGTGGCATGTGAATACTGCCTTGATAAACGATTAAAGTTTATTTAGGTGGAGCCTGGCTGATGGCATTCTAAGCAGAAGACCAGAGAGATCAAAGGTTTGGCTACTGCCAATGCAGAGCACTTAGCTGCCTGTGGCTAATGAGGGGGAAAAAAGGGCTAAGGACATTGGGGCCAGATGGCAGGAGCCCAAAGGTCAGACTGGCTTTATAGTCTCCACTTCATAGATGAAGAAACTGAGGCTGGGAAGGGGAAATCCAGAGCCACGTTGTGTCTCTGGGGGGACCTAAGCATTTCTGCTTCCATGAATTCCCTCCTCCATTAAAAAACAGATAAATAAATTTTAAGACTGCATCGGCATAATGATGCCTATCTTAATATTACACATTAAAACATACTGTTGGACTTAAATGTTCATTTTTTTTCCTTCTGATTTCAAAAAAAGTTAAAACATTTTTGTGGGCCCCTAAAAGTATCATGGAACCCAGACATTGAGCCAAGTGTGTCTAATGGAGAAGTAGGCCTGGGAAAGCCTGTCCAGTTCCTGTCGGATCTGGGCCTGGGGTGCAGCTGCCAGACCCTGGGACCCCAGGCCCGTCATGCCCATCCGCGGTGACCAGCAATTCCCACTTTTACTGCTGCAAGGAGAGCAAATGGGTAAATGGCAGAGCCCCTTGTAAATCTTGCTGCTAGGCTCTGGAGATTGTGCAATAAAAATTAACCTTAAAGTAAATAAACTATGTGGCTGTGAACCAGCCAGGCAGTGTGGGAGAAAGAATAGAGGAAGAAGAAAAACCCACGGTGTTTTGTCATTGCAGCGAGAGTGTCAGCATTTGCCAACTTGTCCCCACCCCGGCTCAGGGAACCAGAACTGAGATGTCCCCCACTCAGGTCTCCATCTGGTAAAGATGGGGGAACTGGGGATGCACACTGGCACATAACTGGCACGAGATCATTCCGTCTTGGAGCTTAGGGACAGGAGGGTCCTGTTTCGCAGGCAGATCCAGCCCTTTCCCACCATCAGAACGATTTCCTCCCCCAGAGCCCCCGCCCCCACCGGAGCCCAATTTCCTGCTTTCACATCACCCGCTCTGCCTCCTCCTCAAGGCTCCTCCCCGGGATGTAGGTCACTGTAGTCACTGTGCTGCTTGGATGACCGCCACCCCAACCCACAGGGTGAGGCAGAGCAGGAGGAAGGCAGACATCCCCCAGAACCACACTCCCCGTTCCCTGAACTCTAAAAGCCTGTGGTGGCAGCAGCGAGGGCGGGACCACTGGCATGCTCCTGCTCTGTGGCACAGCTGCCAACTAGTTGCAACCCTCTGCAGCCAGACTAAAATTCAAAACTAGCATACAGCATGGTCCCGCAAGGCCACTTTTGTCCTGGGAAATCGTTCCATGTGGCCATGGGGCACGTGAGCAGGAGTGCTCTTGGGATACCCTCCCTGGGATAAGCCACTGGGGATAACCTCATGTGCATCGTAGGGGGCTGGACGAATGAACTGTCCACACGGGCAAAGTACTAGACAGTCTGGGCTCTTAAAAAGAATGGGCAGATGTTGCAAACCAATGTGGACAGATCTTTGAGATGTATTGTTGTGGGGAAAAAATGAAGTTGTAGGTGGATTATACTGTGGGATCCTTTTAAGTTTGAGAGAGATCCATAATATACAGCCATTTCTCCAGGTACATACAGATGATTCTAAGGAAATGAGGTCCCCAAAGATGGTGTCCTCCAAGGAGGGGGAATCAAAGGAGAGGCTGTTCCTTTGTAGCACATGAAGATTTTCTAAAGAGGGTGTTCTCAAGTCTTACTGTTATATAATTAGAAATAAAAGCCCACCTATGCAAAAGAGAAAATTAAAAAGCTTTCTGCTCAAGCGGGTTATAAAATGCCTCAAAATGGAGGAAAAATAAAGCAGTGGCCCAGTCAGAAGGTGGTTGCCTGATGGTGGGGAGGCCAGAATTTCTGCCCCGGGCCCAGGCTTTGAGGAGGGACTTTCTGTTCCCAGGTCTCCGTGCTTTGCTAGGTCAGAGCAGGAAGGAAACAGATCATCAGGTTCAAATGCCTTATTAGTCAGATGGGAAAACCGAGGCCTGGGCAGGGGCCTCCCCCCTCCTGCTCAAGTCAGCCTTCACCTCTTCCAACCTCTCCCTGCTGGCTTTCCAGTTTTGTCCAACATTGTCCACTTATTGAAGGAGCTCTCAAAAGCCACTTAACTTTCCTGAGCCTCAGTTTCCTGTCTGTGAGATGGGAACGCTGACATCTCCCCCTTGGGATTGTTGGAAGGAACAAGTGAGATGATGTCTAAGGAGGCAGCAGGTAACCAAACCGCTCCCACTCGCCTCTCCTGGTTCCCTATCCCTCCACCTCCCTCTCTCTCCCCTCCCCAAACCAGTCCAGGTGAGATTTAAAACAGGGCCCCACGATACACAACCAGGACATGGTGCCCCGGCCCTGGGCATCAGCTGGGCACCCAATTCCTGACGTGGGGGCTCTGAAACCAAGACACCGCCACATCCCAGTTCACACTGCTATGGGAACACATGGGCCTCAGACACAGGGGGGATCCCTTGGTAGCTGTGTGGCCCTGGGCAAGTCATTTTGCTTCTGTGACCTTGTCTCCTCATCCACACACGGGGATAACAAGAGTACTCATGTAGTGAGAGTTTTGTGAGGTGGGAGCACAGAGCTGGTGCAGGGGCCTCCCTCAGTCCACCCTGATGTCTCTTCTGTCCTGTCTCTCCCTCCCCTGGGGGCCTCCAAGGGTGGCTCCAGCCCTAACCGCTACCCACCCCCTCTGCCCGTGGATGGAGTGCAGCCCACCTGGGCACCAGCTGTTGAAGAGTAGGGTGAAGTGGCCCAGCACGAAGCTGGAGCCCTGGTAGCCGGTGGAGGCCTCCAGGCTGAGGCGGTACAGGCCAATGGGGGCGTGGGCTGGGGTGCTGAGCTGCAGCGAGAGGACACTGTCCTGTTGGTCCACCACGGTGGCCGTCCAGGTGCCCTCCTCCACAGCATCACGCAGAGGGAAGCGGGCCTTGGTTCCAGCCTCTTCGCTGGGGGCTGGTCCTGTGGAGGGAGAAAGCAGCAGCCGTGAACCAGGGGTAGGCAGGGCTGGCAGAGGTAGAGCACATATGTGGGTCCCATGACCGGAGTTCCAGGTCCAGTTCCACCATTAACCATTGAAAGAACTTGGGCAAGAGGTTTCATCTCCCAGAGACTCAGTTTCCTCCTCTATGAAGTAGGAATCAGGACCCCAACTCTGTGGGGTGGTTTTTGTGGGGACACATGAAAAGCCACAGGCACATAGTAGGTCCACAAGCAGAGAGATTGCTCCTGGGAGAGGGGACATGCAGTCTAGGGCAGAGTCTCAGCCACACTGCTCTGCCCTGCTGTGACTATGGACAAGACCATCCCCCCTCTGGCCTCGGTTTGCCATCTGCAGCAGGGACAGGAATTAGGCAGGTGGTCCCCAAAGAGCCTAAATCTTTTACCTGCCAGCATCCTGCTTTCTTTTTTAGAGAAGGCAGCCTAGGTTCTGAGTGGGATGGAACTTTAGTCCTCTGAGAGCCCCTCGCTGTAGGTTACACAGAGTGCTGGCCGATCCAGCCTCCAGGGGTCTGTCTCCCCAGTGCGCTGCTGGCCTGGCAGCAACTCCACAGGCAGCTCGGAGATGCTGCTTGTAACCACTCCTCACCTCCCTACAGCCTTTTACACTTTATGAAGGACATCGGCACTTCCTGCTTCCTCTGAGACCCCTTGCACAGGTGAGAAAACTGAGGTTCAGAGAGAAGGGGGTCTCCCAAGGCTATCCCAGCAGTTTGTGGCAAAGTTAGCCTCTGCACCCAGGTCTTTAAACTCTTGACTGTCCTCCACAGTGCCCCCCCATTCCCCAAGAGGATGCTCCCTAATGGGGGTTTCAAAGGCACTGTGATGTGGAGGTGTCTCAAATGTGGCTGCTTTTCCAGGTGGGGTGAGGGCCCGGCCCACAAAGGCAGGTCTGAGTCATGGGAAGAGTGAGGAGGGGCTGGTCACTTTCTGGACATGGGTGGTGAAGAGGAGAAACAGAGAATGTTCTCTGCTCGACTGGGTGGCTGCTCGGGAAGGTTTATTTTTATTCTTTCATCTCCTCCCTCTATGGCTCTGCCCGTTCGCTGCTGACAATATTGGGGCCTGCTCACTGAGGGGCTCTGTCCCAGCACCCAGAACCCTCCTCCTTGCCTGACAGCCTCACCCATGCCCAGGCCCAAATATAACCATGAACTAACAGGCATGACACCAGCGCTGTCTGAGTGCCAGGAGCCGACTGGAAGCCTTTAAAAGTGTTCCTTGATTTCCAGAGCCGGCATTTGGGAGAGGAGCCGGGAGCTCTCAGCTGGGGTCTGAGAGCCACCCCGGGTCTGGCTCCCTGCCTCTACTCTTGAGTGCTGTGTGACCTGGGCCAAGTCACCAGGCCTCTCTAACCCACGGTTTTCT